TTATTTCAAAGTGGCTAAGAGGAAGCTCTTGGATGACTCTTACTCCGAGGTGGTTAGAAAAAGGCTTTTTGGATGACCCTTGCATGCTCCCTTGCTAATATAACTCCTCGAACCTGATGAACTTGACCGGTTGTGGACCATTTTGAGCGCTGAATCTCTTGGAATTGGACTCTTAATTTAAACTGGACTTACATCGTGGGCTAGACACTTGGGCTTAACCCATCAACAATCAAATACTGATTTTGAACGAGAGAATTCCCAACAAATTCACAGAAATAGACATACCCAATCAGTCATAACCAATCAAAATTTACAAAATCAAGGAAAAGCAACCAATCACTACATCCAACTCGCTGGAGTTTATAATATAGGCAAAGTAAGAGATGTATCAACCGAAACAAAGTGACTTACCGAGTGTGATTAAATGATCAGGCTGATGAACATGAAGAAGACACAACTTCCTCCAAAGAAAAACTCTTCATAATCCACAACAGAATCGATTTACTCTCCTTCACATTCTATTCCACAGCCACAAATATCATATCCTCCACATTGTTTGCTACTTCTTGCTGGAAACGCTAATAGAGGTGAATAATACTCAATACACCTGACCACGTCTCATTACAAAATTTGTCCACTTATTCAAAATAAAAACGAGTGACGAAGAGAGACAATAATGAGGAAGAGAGATGGAAAAGTAATTGTTCTTATAAAGTAATTGTTCAAATAATTTTTCAAATAAAATGCAGGCTGAAATGAAGAGAAGGAGAAAAACTTGCCTCATAGATTCGACACATTCAAGACCACGTATGAACGTACTAAGAAGAACTTGTTGAATTACACAGAATAAACAAACCCTTACAGACATGATATAGAAATATCTAAATTAACAGACACAATCTCTCTCTCTCTCTCTCTCAAAGAGATGCATGCATGATAACAGCAAGGCAAGAGAGATTACCCAGTTTTTCCACCAGTCTCTTGGATATCAGAACTGAGTTCTGTTATCCAATCATCAACATCAACGTTCCAATTACTTTTATCGTACTTAAAACTATGACCATCCATCATGCAAACTCTGCGAAATCCAAAACAACGAAAACAGTAAAAAAAATGAAGTATAGAAAATGTGCATTGTTATCAACCCAGTTCAAAAGAGGAAAATCATCCACATGCAGAAGATAAAATGGAACCCTAGAAAGTGAAAGTGGCGAAAAAGAATATTAAAAATGGAAAAACCATCAAATTCAACCTAAAGGTACTTGAATTATGTCTACATATGTTATTTTCTGTGCATATTTTCCATATAAAGCCTTCAGGTATTGTTAATTTCAGGTGTCACAATTGAAGTACTGATTTTGGGAAGTATTTGACTTGTGTTGAGATCGATAGTCGAAAGGGAACCCGAGAGTCTTGGAGAGAGAAATAGAGAGAAGGGGGGAGAGTGAGGCTACATTATGAGGGAGAGGGGAAGGTGAAGAGAGGAGGACGGTTTGTTTGAGAGAAGGAGAGAGGTGAAAATATTTATTACAACAGTGATACTATATGACAATATGATATAATATCACCTACCAATAATATTAAAACAAATAAGCAAATGAAATCTACAAAAATTAATAACCAACTAGTAATATAAACAAATAACTCCTCATTTTTCCTCTATATCAGTTCAAGTGAGGTTCAGTTTATCTAATTGGAGTTTTATTATTAGTTAGTGGTATCATGTTATCAATGGTGACATTATATCACCGTTAAATTCAATATTTAATCAAGAGAGAGAGGGTAACGGCTGAGAATCAATTAGAGGTGATGATTTGGTTTAATGTGACATTTACTCTAAAATAGTATAGATAGATAGATAGATATACATAAATATAATAGATATTAATAGATTAATGTGTATATTGTTGGTGTATTAGTATGTTTATATTAAGAGTTTTAATTATTTTATGGATTAATAGATTAGTTTGAGAGAGAGAAGAGAGCCGACACATTCTAATATCTCGAAATCTTGTTGTAGGTTTACTCTCTATCGAGCAAAAAATGATTGGTTTGGTTTCATAACAGATAGGATTGCTATCCTATTTCACCCCCACTTGTCACGTGAATATTACTGGGTCGAATTCCCTGTCTTTATATCTGACACTAAAAAAAAAAAAGGTTTTGTCAATGATAAAAAAAAGGTTATGTCGATGGTTGTTTGTACTTAATTTGTTAGCATAATTTATTATTATCGTTAAATTTACAATAATTCTAATGTTGAATGAACATACTAGCCATTCGATTGTGTATTAGATAAGATTAAATTCTAATGTTGAATGAACATACTAGCCATTGTATTATATAAGATTAATAAATTATGTTAATTACATAAATCTATATAGTATTATAATAAAAAATAACCGGTTACCATAAATAGAACAACTCAAATATATTTTGCCTGGAATAAGAGTAATGTTATAGAGATTTAATTTGTACGCTTAATTAAGGATCCAATTTAATAAAATTATTAAATTAGTTGTGAATTTCAATGTTAAATGAAGTCCACTTTCAATCCAGTGGTATTATCACATGGGTTCGTTTAATAGACGTATTATGAGGAGATTAAATATTAAATTGTACTAAATTTATTTAATCAGGCCTAATATTTTGTTTGCTAAGCAAATTTAATACAATATTAATTTCAAAAACATATACTAATTATATATTTATCGTATATTTTTTATACGTTAGATCTATATTATAGAGGTATTTTAATACCACAAAAAGATGTAGTATTATAATCCAACTCAAACATATTATTTTACACATTTACCATTATAACACCCAACTGATAAAATCAAACTATTATCAATGTAACAAATACTAATTGAGGGTATTTTTGTTAATTCAACATTAATACAATAAAATAATTTATTAACCAAACAGTCAATTGGATTAAATAATTACTATATAACGTTTATATTGTGTATTACTAAATATTAGATAAAATTTCGTATTATTCTAATACCATATTTAGTCTTGCCTTTTGTCCTTCTATATTTTATAAAATTGAATTATTTTATTTAATCCATTCATATCTAATATGACAATCAAACGAGCACATTACATCAATATTGTCACGGGATATAATCACCCAATAATAACTCAATAAATAAATAAAACAAACTTCATTCATTCAAATAACCACCCCTTCACATAAGATACTAATAGTCAACTATCGAAAAAGTTGAGTTCAGTTTCTCACTTGTTTATTTATTATTAATTAATTATATTACGTGATAATATTGACGTGATGTTATTTGCTCTGAAATTATGTCCAAGTTACACCTTTCATGAATAATGCTATTTAAACTTAAAAATTTAATCTGAATTATTGACATAATGATATAATTTTTATTATAATTATTAGATCAAGAGCAAGTTCTAATATTTTATGAGACCCAAAATGATAAATCAAATCCAAATTTTAAAACCAAATCTCATTTCCCCCATAAATATATGTGGGTATGTTGGAAAGAAAAAGCCATAAATAAGCAACAGCTTGACCACCTAAGAGCCACCTCGTCTCGTTTCGACCCCTTTTTCAGAAACGTACACAAGAGGACCATCCGATTGAGAAAATAAAGCTAAAAAATATCATTCACTTGGGAAAAAAGAATAAAAACTCTCCTCTCCTCTCCTCTCCTCTCCTCTGCTACTCTCTCTCTCTCTCTCTCTCTCTCTCTCTATTAAAGTTCTTCCAAAACATCTGATCAACCCCGAGAATTGTCCAAGTCTGTAAGAGACAAACAACAATCTAATCAGATACCCATTTCAGTTCCTTTAAGTTTGATCGAAAATTTTCTGTTTTGGTGAGATTTAACGGCAATAATAGACAGATTTCATATGGGTTTTGAGAATTGTTGGGTTTATATTACATGTAATTTTTATTTTTGAAGTTTTGTTTCTCGATCTGTAACGATCATAATGTACAGATTTGGAGATTACCCTTATGTTACTATGTTGTGTTTTTGAAGTTTCATTTTATTTTGTTTGATTCTTTTGGGTTACGTGTTGATTTGCACTTGTTTACCAGGCTCTCTGATGGTCCTTAGATCTTTAGTTTGTCAAATATCAAATTTTGATGGTTAATTTTCATACAGAAGTATTGACTATTGCAATCTCTGTTCTGGTTGTGTATCTGATCATTCCTATTTCGTATATTCGGCTTGATTTATTGTAAAATTCACGCGATGTATTGATTACAAAAGTGGATGAAAGTAGACCTTTTGGCGTGGAAGTTCCTTTCTCTTTTGGGCATGGAATATCCTTTGTTGGAAGATTAGTATTCTTCAGGCAACAGTTTTCTTTTGTTTGTGGTGTTTGTTTTTGGGTTTCTGTTCATTTATTATATTTGTGAGTGTGTCTCTGTTTACATGTTGTGGGATTCCTTTGTGTGTCCATCCTTTTACCTCTTGTTCTGGATAAATCGAAGTTGGATTATCTCTGTTTTTGCCAGGCTTAATATCGCATAATCGGGTAGCAAAGTTCTCTGCTTTTCAGTTCTATGGTTCATTTGTTGATACATTTGATCATTGAGATGCATTTTATTAGTTACAACGAACTTTCTATGTGTGTGGCAATTTCAAATTTGGATCAATCTAGTGCATGTGAATTTGGTTATCTAGCATCTTTTCTTGGCTTGCAAGAAGTTTGTATGCATTATACCTATCATTCTTAGTGTCTCGTAATTCTGTTCAGTTTCTTATTCCCTTTTGTTCCTTGAAATTCATTTTAACATGTGTTACATTTATAGGTTTGAGGGCCTTGAGGCTTGAAGTTTACTGATCAATACTCAAGGTGCATACTTCTGCCTATGATAATCACTACCATTTTAGCACATATTTGAGTCTTTGGAAAAAAACTAATTTAGTAATCATTTACATGTTTTTATAATTCATAGCAATTTTGATCTTCTCCTGTGCCTAGTTTGGGCACTGCAGACTTAGGCAGTGCCCATGGATGCCACAACGAGCAGAACCCCAACCATTCAGTACCATAACATTGTTGACGAACCGATTGCTGCTCTTGTCACCTCCGCTGTACCTACATTTCAACGACAACAACGACATTGCTTTGGGGATGCAAGTCCTGGGGAATTTCCATTGTCTGCCAACCCCTCTATCGTTCTTCATGTCCTTACTGCTTGTAATTTGGATCCTCGAGATCTCGCGAAACTAGAGGCAAGTACCGTGTTTCTTTCCATTTCAATAATGAAGCTCTTTATTGACGATAGAATTGATAATGCTGCTGTTTGGATTGTAATGGTGTGTTCCAGGCAACATGTTCCTTCTTTAGGCAGCCTGCAAACTTTGCCCCTGATTATGAGCTGTCTTTATCAGAGCTCGCGGCTCTGGATATGTGCCAAAAAAGGGCAATATTTAAGCCCATGACGGAAGGAGAACGCCAAGATTTGAAACAAAGATGTGGGCGCTCCTGGAAACTGGTCCTGAGGTTTTTGCTGGCTGGAGAAGCATGTTCTAGGAGGGAGAAGTCACAAGCAATAGCAGGGCCAGGTCACAGCATTGCTGTGACCTCAAAGGGTGCTGTTTACTCATTTGGGTCTAACAGCTCAGGACAGCTGGGACATGGCACAACAGAAGAGAATTGGCGGCCTTGCCAAATCAGGTTGCTAATTCCTATAATTGTCATAGACCTGGTATTGTAATTGAAAAACAGAGAGATGGTTGATTCCGAAAATAATTTAGTGGCACTCATTATGTTGCAGATCTCTGCATGGCATTCGTATTATCCAAGCAGCTGCTGGGGCTGGCCGGACAATGCTGATTAGTGATGCTGGACAGGTCTATGCCTTTGGAAAGGACTCATTTGGGGAAGCTGAGTTTGGTGTTCAGGGAAGTGGACTGGTAACTAGCCCACAACTGGTCGAATCTTTGAAAAACATATTTGTGGTGCAAGCTGCAATTGGAAATTTCTTTACAGCCATATTATCAAGGGAAGGTAGGGTTTACACATTTTCTTGGGGGAATGAAAGCAAACTTGGTCACCAAACAGATCCAAATGATTTGGAGCCGCATCCTTTGTTGGGAGCGCTAGAGAATACTCACGTGGTACAAATTGCAGCTGGATACTGCTACCTTCTTGCTTTGGCTAGTCGACCTAGTGGCATGTGAGCTGCCTCTTCGTTTCTTTAGTTTTGTGCATTTGAGAAAATTTTAAATAATTGATGATGGACGTAATATCCCGGTTCTGGTAAATGTGTCTGTTCTAATTTCATAATTTGTACATTGTATTCAACTTTCTGAATTGATTTTTGGCTGAAAATTTCAATATTGGTGCAAATAAATTTGAGATCTACCTACCATGTGAAATGATTTGCCATTGACAACCGTATGCTTGTTCATTTGTCTTAGCTTTTACTGTCTTTTATAACCTGTTTATGTTATCAGGTCAGTATACTCTGTTGGGTGTGGCTTGGGTGGGAAGCTTGGACACGGTGCAAGAACTGATGAGAAGTACCCAAGGTTAATTGAACAGTTTCAGACTTTAAATCTTCAGCCTGTTGTGGTTGCAGCTGGTGCTTGGCATGCTGCCGTGGTTGGGCAGGATGGAAGGGTTTGCACTTGGGGTTGGGGCCGTTATGGGTGCTTGGGCCATGGTAATGAAGATTGTGAATCAGTTCCTAAGGTAGTTGAAGCGTTGGGCACAGTAAAAGCTGTCCATGTCTCTACTGGGGATTATACGACCTTTGTAGTTTCTGATGATGGTGACGTATACTCGTTTGGGTGTGGTGAATCATCTAGTCTTGGACATAATACTGCAGCTGCTGATGCACAGGTCTGCCTTTCTCCTTCTTAATTTTCTGAAATGATAAGAATTGCCTTTGCTCCACTTGAATAAAGAGTGCTACCTAATTCCCAGAATATATGAACATGTTTTGAATTATATGCCACTTTTATTTAACTAATCCTTCACAATTTCATTTTATTTTGTGCATTTCTGTGTTCTATGGAAACATAATTCTCTTCTTTCCTCTTAAACAAGCATTGCCCGTTTATGATTTTGAACACATAGATATGATTGATATATATGGTTATCAACGTTGTTTGATTCTTGCTACGTTTATCATCTCAACCTGATTACTTGTCATATTTCAATGCTTCGTGTTGTAAAAGTTTTGGGACAAAAAGAGAGAAATTACATCGTACACGTTACTTTGTTACTGATACATAGACCTGATGCATTGACGAAAGTGTTTCATGATCGGTATGTGCATCCACCTAAATTTATGATATAATTGATGTGGGCTTTGGTTGTGTTGTTTTCAGGGGAATCAGAATGTTTTAAGCCCAGAGATAGTAGCATCACTGAAACAGGTGAATGAGAGGGTGGTACAAATAAGCCTCACCAATTCCCTATACTGGAATGCCCACACCTTCGCGCTCACAGAATCTGGTAAGCTATATGCATTTGGAGCGGGTGATAAAGGACAGCTGGGCGTTCAGCTTGATGCCAACCGGACAGAAAGGGGGAACCCGGAGCGTGTGGACATTGATCTCAGTTAGGCTTTTGAAGACTTTCCCCCTGCTTTCTAATTTGTCATCATCCTAACCATACTGCTCTGCATTTGGTGTTTATATTTCCATGTTTATTCTGTACATAGAATGAAGATTGTTAATAATCAAGCTAGGTAGTAAGGGTCTAAGCAAGTTAGAAAGAGAAAAAGAAGTTGCTGGTTTTTGCTTAGCCTCAAGCAGTAAATAGTTGGTACATTTTTTAAGATTCATATTAATATATCTATATATGTGTTCAATGGCTTCATGTATAATCACCCATTCTCATCCCACACTACTACAGCTCTCTGTCTTTTGATCTGATCCCTCTGCTCTCTCCTAGGTATCCAAAGTTAGCTCTTACCAGCAGAGGCACAAAAATGGGTTGAGAGAACTAATGGGCTTGGGCTTACGGTTGAATCAATTTAGGGAAAATTGGAAAAAAGTACACCAAATTAGACTTAATTATAAAAAAATATATAAAAAAAAATGTTGGGTAATTAAGTCATTAATTTTGATATTTGTTTGTATTTAAGTACATTATTTGAATTTTACTGATTTTTTTGTGATATTTTTGCCTTCCATTAAAAGTGGTGCATTAAACATCTCTTAGTTTTATGGGAGAACTTTAATATATATATATACACTTATGTATGTATGTATGTATGTATATACTTCTTGTTAAATCTCTTATTTAAATTTTGAATTATCTTTTAATGCACCTTGATTCATGTATTTTTTTTTAGAAAGTAGTTTTATTTTTAAATTAATTTAATATCCGAATAGTGTAATAGTGTAACAATAAAAGTATAACAATGTAACAATAACAATATAACAAAAGTGTAACACTAACAGTGTAACAGTATAACAATAATAGTGTAACAAGTTATTTATACAAAATATTGTACTATTACATTTTGTCAAACGTATAGTTTCATATAATTTCATTCAAAATAGTCTATCTCCGTTTTGAATTTGTTACCACATACACAAAATTACTAAATGCTGTTTTTGTTATAGTGTATTTGTTACACTGTTATTATTACACTATTAAATTATTGGGATATTAAATTAATTTGAAAATAAAACTGTTTCCCAAAAAAAAAAAATGTTTGAATCAAAGTACATTAAATATAATTTGAAAACAAAATCACTTTCCACAAAAAAAAATACGCATGAATTAAGGTGCATTAAAGATAATTCCAAATTTAGATAAAAGATTTAACAAATATATATATATATATATATATATATACATGTATTAACAAATACACATTAATCAAAATGCATTAAATACGTATTTATATGTATTAACAAACACACATGAATTAATGTGTATTAAAGATAAGAGATTTTAAATTAAATGATCCTAAAATAAGAATTTATGTATTTGTAACTCACATTTTATTTTATGTATTTTTTACCAAATAAATCTAATTAGGTGTACCGATTTTTCAAGAACCCATCATTTTATTAGGTCACCAGCCATACATATAGCCACTTCATAAATAGTGGGACACGAATCCAACTATACATGATATAAATTTTATTATTTGTGACTAATATACGATCTGATATCAACCACACACTACACTGGGTATAGGTTAAGTAAATTATAATTTGAATTGTTCATATCTATAAAATAAAGTAGTTTACAATTCAAATCGTAAAAGATAAACAAAATGACTTTTGTTATTCGTGGTGAAGATCATTTTAAATTTTATTTTAAAGTTAATATAACGACTAATATTAACACTTTAAATTTAATAGGAAAAATAGACCATAAGGATGTGTTTGGAGTAATTTTTTAAAAGTAATTATATAAATAATTTCTCATAAATACTTTAAAAATAAAATAGTGTTTGAAACCGTTTCACCACTACCTTTACCACCACCCCCATCGCCACTGCCACCATTACCACTGTCGCCATCATCACCACCACCATCACCGATTCACCGTCGCTGTCGCCACCACCACTACCACTATCGTCGTCATCGCTACCACCGCCACCCCACACCCACCGCCATCATCGCCAGCACCACCTCCACTCCCACTGCCACCTCCACCCCCCATCATCATCGTCGTCGTCGTCGCCGCCACCACTGCTGTCGTTGCCACCACCACCGCCATCACCGTCCCCCGCCTCCTCACCAACATCACCAGCCCCTGCCTCCTCACAGCTATTGCCACCACCACCGCCTCCATCGTCACCGTCGTCGCCACCACCACCACCACCATGTCAATGCCACCCACCACAACCATTACCGTCTCCAACCACCGCCACTGCTGTCCACCACCTTTCACCTCTACTACAAACAGATGTTTAAATTATTTATCTCTTCTCTATGTTTATGATTTAATTTTAGATATGAATACAAATATGTTTATTATTTACTATTTTTTATTACTCTGTGCCTTCAGACACAGACAATAACTAGTCATTCTATATATCTAGATCCTCTATAATATTTCTTATCTTCATTTACTTTTTCTAAGCATATTGACCACTATTAACGAGTGAAAGGTTTATTTGTATACAACGGGTTCAACTTAAAATTATGGTAAATGATTCACTAAGAAATAAAATGGAGAGAATATGTATTGAGGGGATCTTACTCTTCCTTCTATTGGGTAGAGTTAGGGGTGTTCAACGAGCCAAGCTTGGGTAAGTTTTGATGTGCTTAGGTTTGGCTCGTAATTTTTAAGGTCTGCTCAAGCTCAAATGCCGAGCTTAAAATTTTGCACAAGTTTAACTTGTTAGAAATGCAAGTCGTTTAGACTCGGTGCGTCTAAGCTTGTTTATTAGTGTGAGTTCAAATCTGAACGTAGGCTCGAAAAAGTTGTACGAGCTAAAAATGAGAAGAGAACATTCTTAACACTTGTACAAAAATACCCTCAAATGTCTTCTTTAACCTTCTTTGGTATGAATGATAAAACGGCAAAATAACACATATGAATGATAAATGAGCCACTTCGCAAATTGTTCCGCTCGAATATGAAACGAGCTTAAAAATTGATCAGATTTGGCTCGTTTTATAAAAAAAGCAAGCTTGAACAAGCCAAAATCAACCGAATCTAAGCTATTCGTTTCGTTTAACACTCCTATGTAAAGTTGTTAGATACACGTCCTATAAATATTACAAGCCCAACATGTGTGGAAGCCCAATGACTGATATGGGCCAGATGGATCAGTTGGCTCTTCTGAAAACACAAAACAAACTAATGGCGGCTAATTTAAGGCACCTTCTTGAGATGGACTCTCTGTAGGCCGTTGCGGGTGGCAATTGTGTCGCGTTATTATGGATTTATGTCGAGTATTAGTCAATTTGAATTCAACTCATTTAATTAATCGTATCGTGTTCATATTGATCTGTGAATAAAAAATTTAACACTAAGATTTAAGTTTTTATTATTATTTAATTGAATTCATACTCATACTTTTTCTGTAAACTACAAATTAACTTAATAAACATAATAATAAAAATAACTTAAAATGTGTTTTTATGTAATAATTATGTTAATATTTGGTAAACAATAAAAAATAATTGACATTTTGTTCATATGATATTAGTTATAAACATATTAATCGTGTCAAGTTTATATTATTTATATTTTAACACTAACTCGACTCATTTATTATTTATGTTAATAACTCATATTATTTATAATTACGTGTTGAAAAATAATTTATCATAACTAATTAATTTTGAGCCGTATTTACCTGTTGCGTCAAAAATTGCCACTTTATGTAGCCTATCGAGGACACTGGATGCCTTGCTGCAAATGGAGGTGTTGTTTGGATGGTGTTATAAAGGGAGTTTAACACGTGTTAAGGATATATAATTGAAGTGGGCTCCAGTTATTTCATATTTTATGAACAAGGTCTTTTAACCGGTTTATCTTGACGGATTTTTGGGAGGATTTGGATTGGTTTTGTCAAATTTCTCTTTATATAGATAAGATTCAACATTGAATTCAATTCATACTCATGTTTGGTATACCCATCAATATATCACTATTATGATAATATAATTTTTTATAAATAACTATTTTGTCTTTTCATCGTTCTAATTCAAAAACATGTTTATATACGTACATTTTTTTTGTGTTCTTATGGTTTTCATATTTAATTATTTTTTTTTCCTAACTTTTAACAAAAAATCATGAATGTTGATAAAATATAACTATTATTCATAACCATAATAAAATGTAATAAAACATTAATCATACAAGACATTGTAACATTTGATATACAGAGATACACACAAATCTTGTTACACTAAATCGGCCAGACATATTCTTGTTACACTATATTAAACGTCATTATATTGGTTACAAACATCTCATATCTATTGATGACATTAATCATTAATGATAATCAAGTCCACAGTAAGTTTATATGAAGACATGACTGAAGTGAAATCAACATTGAAAATTATTGATATGTGTCCACCTTCCCATGTGGCCCGAATATTTCCGTGAAGATCTCGTAATTGGGACAAGTCCGCACACACGCTCGAGATATGAAGGTGTTATCCTACAAAAAATGACATATTGGATTTATGCACACATATATTTAATGATCCGTATACTAACATACATATGTAAAAACCTAACAAAAATAAACCTCTAAAAAAGACACTCTGACGGGATTGATTGGGAAAAGAACTTGTTGTTCGTTATTCCAACGGAACAATCCCAAAGTCTCTATATCTTTCATCTTGAAATGAAATTTCTTTCAAAAAAATAATTACTTTCATCATTAGGCCCAGAGTTAATCGTAGTGTTTGCAAACGTTCACTTATTATCTCTCATAGACGACTCCAGCCTTCTTCGAGGAATTCACCTGTGTTGGCAATGAGCATCTCCAACTTAAGGTCCATAAGGCAATTCAACAAAACATCTTCCTCATCTTGTGTTAACCTCAATCGTTGCATTACTTTTAACCATGTTCCGATGATAATACCCATTACAAAATCAATGTGCAAGGAATAAGTTAATAACGTAACAAAACTTTGTACATTACTTTAGTGATACAAATCTATAAAAGTCAATACATAAATTACAACCATAGCATAATTTGATGAGGACAATTTGAGGAAACTTCATCATCGTACATGATTGTTCAGTCAAATAAATTTAACCATAAATGAGCTCAAAATATGCAAATTATGAAACCCAATATGAACCTTACTACAACGAGCATAATTCCATTTTGTGGGATTGGTCCAATTTTTGGAGAGGGTTTACTTCCAAACATTTT